GAGTGAGTGTAGTTTTATTATAATTTATTCTGCAGCTGATCCACTCCGACATTCTAGTAAGTAAATACCGTATTACAGCTAATCACCTACTCACAGAGTTAATCTGCCTTTCAGAATGACAGAAGGATGCAACTTGTATTTATATTTTTACCACAAGATTTTCATTTTTTATCTTTACTCATGGTAGTTGGGGAAATACAGCCCGTCCCATTGGTTCCCTGTAAATCCCTCTTGCTGAGCCATTTCTGCTGTTGGGATCATTGGGGAAATACGGCCCGTCCCATTGGTTCCCCGTAAGTCCCTCTTGCTGAGCCATTTCTGCTGTTGGGATCAAAAGGGAAATGAGTTGACTTGTATATAATGGCATCCTGTTGTCCTGTCCTTAGTGCGAGCTGCTCAGAGCAGGAATTGTGCCGTGTTGTGTTTGGAAAGCTGTTAATATGTAGCTGGAATGTCGGGCCCCTAATTGTGTGTGTGTGTGTGTGTGTGTGTGTGTGTGTGTGTGTGTGTGTGAAAGGTGCAAAAACACCCCCCCATGATTCTCCATGGGGCTGATTCTGGCAGGCTGGGGCTGATTCCCCTCCCCTCACCCCCAGGAGCGAGGCCAGAAGGCCTGGCTAGGCCTCGCGCCTGGGAGAAGGGGGTGGGAAATTAGCCCCAGCTTTCCCCCGGCCGGCCTGAGCACACTTACTTGGGGGACCATAAGGGGTGCGTTCACACCCTCGCAGTCCACACTTACAAAAAAAGGCCCCCCCACCCCCAGATTCCTGTGTATAGGTCTGAATGTCCCTAAATCCCCCACATCCCTCAGTGGTTTGTGCCTGGCTTCCCAAACGGCATCACTGGCTTCTCGTGGGACGTGCCTCGGTCACCAGCTAAATACCCAGCGGGGACGGAAAAGAAGGTGCATGGCACCTCAGAGACCTAGAGCCAGCTGCCTGCTTATCCATGTCCCTCCTGGGAGGCCCTGGGCAAGTCATTGTAAATCTCTGGCCCAAACCTCAAACATATGTGGGTGCCGAGTTCCTACTTATATCAGTGGGAGATAAGTGCCTAAAATGTAAGACCGGTGATCTCAGGCCCCCATCTATAAACAGCACTGCCATGCCTGGAAGGGGTGTTCTGGAGCTATCCATGGACTACAGATTGTGAGGGGCTCGGATACTAGGGTAAAGGGGGCCGTGTACCTAAGGCAGACCTAGGAGAGCTGCCCTCAGGAGGGGTTAACAAGACCCAGCTGCTTTTCTGGACGTTAATTGTGGGATACAGGAAGGCAGCTGGGGTCTAGCCAGGCCAAGGAAGCAGGTGGGTCCCATTCAACCTTGTCCTAATGGAAGTGGCTGCCCTAAAGCCGGGGGATGGGGGGAGGGCTGTGATAGGGAGGGAGAGAGAGCAGCGAACCCGTGAAGATACTCGAGTGTTGCTTTGGTCGGTGCCCGAGAAGGGGCGGCTGCAGCCGAATGAATCCAAGTGGGAGCGTTATTTGTGCTCGGGGGCCAGGCTCCTCCAGCGTTTGGGCTCACACTTTCAGTGGGTGCCTTGCAGTCTGGGCCCAGCCCACCTCGCCTGGCCTTGCCCTGCCAGATCCCAGTGTCGCTCGAGGGAGGAGGCAGAAGCTGGAAAGAGGCGGGCACAGCAGAGCCTAGGTCACTTGCTGCCGCCAGGCCCAGGGCCGCATTATGACTTTCGTGGGCCCTAAAAGTTTCATTTTTTTTCTGATGTGAGAAAAAAATTAAAACATTTTCTTCTACCCTAAAAGTTCATTTTTTTCTTCTGATTTTAAAAGAAATTAAAACATTTTCATGGGCCCCTAAAAGTATCATGGGCCCTAGGCACTGGGCCTACTGTGCCTAATGGATAAGTCAGCCCTGGCTAGACCCCCCCTGAAAACACGGGGCACGTGGCGGTTGCCCTGACCTGCCCTGTGGGTGGGACGGCTCTGCTCCGACCCTTTCCGGGCACACCCTGCTGGTTACTTACAGTGCAGCTGAAGTGTGTGGCACTGCATTGGTGTGAGAGCCGAGCGGGGGGTGGGGAGGGAAGGACACGCCGGTAGCCACGCAAACCGCAGGGGCGTGGTCATCAACCGCAAAGCGGTGGGAATACGTATTATCCCCAGTGATCTGGGCCTGTGTTCTCTGAGCTCATCTGAAACAAGAGCCCCTGATCCCTTCTCTGGGGGTTAGAGAATTTCACACGAAGCAGTTTGTCTAGTAGAGGAAATGAGAAGTCACGGAGTCGGGACGGGACGGGACGGGACTGCCAACACCCAGGCCGCCCCGGTGGAAGGCAGGATAAGGATGCCCTGAAGTTAAGGTGGTGGGGTGGGTTCTGGTGTGTCCCAGGGGACAGGGCATTCGCCTGGGGAGGGCAGGGTGCTGGGAATGGGGGAGTCCCTGGGCCCTGCACCCTCATCCAAAAACAGCTGTGACTCTGAGCCGGCGAGTTGAACAGAAGGTTTATTGGGTCACAGGGACACAGCGCAGCACAGACTTGTTACAGGAGACAGGAGCCGTCAGTACAACCCATCTTGGGGAAAGGGAGGCCCAGACCCAGTGCTCCTGGCCCCTGCCTGTTCCCCCAAGCCAGCTAGACTCCCTCCTCCCTAAGCCTGCTGAAAACTAAACTCACACCCAGCAATTGGTCCCAATCCTCCAGGCTATTCCACCCCCTCCATTGTTCAGACAAGGTGTCACCTGGTTGCTCCCCCCATCCTGGCTCAGTTTACAGGACCACCTGAGCTATGGGGCAGCCTCCCCCTCAGTGAAGGTTTGCCAGGTGTCCTGTTTTGAACCAGACAGTCCAGGATTAGAACTTTCTGTTTGGGAAACAAATTGAGGAAATAGAACTGTCCGGTATTTTCAAAATAAGGCGTAATGTCGATTGGGATGTCATGCCAAATGTGTCCGGTATTTTTGTTGAAACCACCTGGCAACCCTACGGGCCGGAGAATTCCCCCTCCCGCGGTGTGGTGGAACATTCCCCCCCTTCTCCTTCCTGCCTGTGGCGTGGTGTGGGAGCGGCCCATGGCCCCTGCTGTGGGGGGGTTGTGGGGGGCTGCTCCAGCCTGACCGTGCCTGCCATGCCATCGGCATGGGGATGCTTACATGGTTAACTGATTAAACAGGATTTTACTTCCCTGCGTTGGGACTGGCTGCCCAGCAAAAGCCGTGCACCGGGCAGCTCCCCTGAGCTTCCTCAAATCCAGCTGCTTTGGTTAATAACGGGAGTGAAGGCCGGACAGGTTAGCAAGTTGAGTACCTATCCGAGGTCTGTGCCGTGCTTTCACTGTTTCACTGCCTACGTCTTCCCTGAGGCTGTTACCTGTGCTCATCCGTGCACCGCGTCTGTAGACACAACCTGAGTCCTTTATGCTGAGCCTTCTCTTTTCACTTCCCCCACCCCTTCTGTTTTGGTAGGGTTGCTTTGTGGTTCCTTATTGGCTTTTTCCCACAATTGGTTCAGCTTCTATTGGAGTTTCAGGTCCAACTTCAGTGCGCCTCTTCCCATTGCGATGGCTTTAAATCGGCCGACTCCATCGTTAGCTCATGCCAGGGTTCTCAGATTGTATTTGCGTTGTGACCCCCTTCTGACAATGAGTTACTTCACAACCCCGAGGGCAGGATGTGAAGCTTTAGCTTGCCTGAGCCCCACTGTCTCAGGGCATGGGGAGGGGGAGTCAAATCCAAAATCCAAGGCTTTCAGCCCCAGGTGGGGGCCCCGTCACCTGAACCTGCTACTCAGAGCCACGGATGTGAGCTCCAACCCGGGGCCGCAGCAAATTGAAAGCCAGACTGGCCAACCCCAGTAATATAGGTTGTGACCCACGTGTGGGTCCCGACCCACAGTTTGAGAACCGCTGGCTGAGGCGGCTTGATCAGACGCGTTCCATGGGCCACAGTGCGTCCGTTTCTGACTTGAAAGCAAGTGTCCTTGTGAAGTCTGCCCCGCGCTGGCCCTTTAAGGGCAAAACCCAGCCCTGAGAGAGAGCGGAGAGCAAAGCCCCACAGCTGAGGCAGAGACAGCCAATGAGGGCCCAGCTGGGGCTGTATAAATACAGACTCCTGGAGGTACTGGAGGACATGCATTCCTACTCCAGCTGGGGAGCACGGGGGACCTGGCTGCCAGGGAAGCTGGAGGCTTCCTGAGACAGAGCAGGGCTGGGGGAAGGCATGTGGGGGGGGGGGTTCAGACCTGATCTCACTCTCAGGCTGCAGGGCCTGGGACAAGGCCTAAGGCTACTAAGGCTGCAGGGAGGCAGCCAGGCTAGAAAGAGGCAGCAGGTCCATACTCAGGGCTGGCCTTACAGTGAGGCGAACGGAAGCACCATGAGGTGAACTGAGCCGGCCGCCTCAGGTGCCAGACTGTGGGTGGAAGCACCACTAGGACCCAGAGCGTAGAAAATTGTCTGCTGCTGGTGCATATATAGGTAGCAGAGCAGTGCCGTGAGAGGAGTAGAGCAGGAAGGAGGCAGAATTGAGACCTTCCAAAGTTTTGGCCCAAGTGAGGGGACTTAGGGGCGTCAGCTGAGCTCCCCGCCTCAGGTACCAAAATGTTGTGGGCCAGCCCTGTCCGCACCCTGTTGCCAGTGCTGAGTGGCTGTGTCAGCCTGCAGTTTGCCCCTGAGGTAAGGGGCTAGGTGACACCTGGCCGTGGGTCACTAAAGCAAGGTGGGGACAGCGGGTTTGGGGGTTCCTTGGGAGGGGAGGACCCCAGAGAAGCAGAACTGCTGATGTCCCGCATCCCCCTTTTGGGGGGGTTAACTGTTATGGGCACTCCTGGAGGGCAATGTCCTGACGAGGATGCTGCAGTCCTGGAGCAAGGACACGAGGTAGACACCAGCCGGAGGGAGGCGCCCTGCGGGCTGACTAGGGCGAATTCCCAGTGTGGCCAGCAGGAGGCGCTATGACAGGGAGTGCCGCCCCATGGCAGGCCTCTGAATCTCATTCTTGCTCTACCTGGGGCAGCTCCCTGATCTTTGTAACTTTCCTCCGGAACAGACGTTGAAGACTACCTGGCGGAATGGCTGCACGTGGAGAACCTGAGCGCGAGGGCGAGAGACCAGCGAGAGGCGCTGCTGGCCGGCTTCCAGCAAGTCAGAGCCAGGTTGGTGGGTTTTCCGCACGATGCTCTAACGGGAGCAGGATCGCTCGGTTTCAAGACTCCGCTTAGCAAGGCTGCAGTAGAGTAACACCAGGCCTTATGGGGTCTCCTCCCCCCTGCAGCACTCTGAGGGGTCACTAGCTAATGAGCAAGTCTGCCCAGATCTAAGTTGCCAAAGGGACGTGGAGCTGGACCTTAAAGGCACCGCCCAGAACAGTCTCTTAAAAAGGCAAGGTGGTCGGAGGTGTGCTGTGGAGAACAGAGTTCAAAATGGCTGCCCTTAAAGGGGCCTTTTTTTCTCAACAAAAAATCCTTGGTGAGCCTCATAAAAAAAAAAAAAGTGTTTGGTGTTCCTTTTTTTTCTCAACAACTTCCCCACCCCCCTTTTTTTTTCTCAACAAAAAATCCTTGGTGAGCCTCATAAAAAAAAAAAAAGTGTTTGGTGTTCCTTGGTCTTAAAAAGTTTAAAAACCACTGGCCTAGAAACTTTCAGCACTTGTACAAGCTGTGCGGTGTCCGCTGTGTGTTGCATGGAGAAGTGGCACACGGGTGTCAAAGCGCTGCATTTTCTGTAAAATGTGTGTGAGACGAGCTGCTCCTGCAGGGTTTTTTCAGGCTGCAACCCATTTCATTCCACTGAACGCTCTTCAGGGCTGGCGTGGTGCCTTGTGTGCTTGCACGGCTCTTGTGAAGAAACCTGGCTCTTGTGTAGCCCTTTTAATCAATAGATTTCACAATCCTTTACAAAGAGGGCAATAACATTAGCGACAGATGTGGTTGCTTCATCTCAAAAAAGATATATTGGCATTGGAAAAGAATCAGAAAAGGACAACAAAATGCTGAGGGGTTTGGAACGGGGCCCATATGAAGAGAGATTAAAAAGACTGGGACTTTCAGTTTAGAAAAGAGACGAAGGGGGAATATTATAGAGGTCTGTAAAATCATGAATAGTGTGGAAAAAGGGAATAAGGAAAAGTTATTTACTTGTTCCCATAACATAAGAACCAGGGGTCACTAGATGAAATTAATAGGCAGCAAGCTTAAAACAAACAAAAGGTAGTATTGCTTCATGCAGCGCACAGTCAACCTATGGAACTCCTTGCTAGAGGATGTTGTGAAGACCAACACTCCATGAATTTATCTAACTCTTTTTTTGAACCCTGTTATAGACTTGGCTTTCACAACATCCTCTGGCAAGGAGTTCCACAGGTTGCATAAAGAAAAACATCCTTTTGTTTGTTTTTAAACTTGGTGAGCCTGTGTGTGTGTGTGTGTGTGTGTGTGTGTGTGTGAGCTGCAGCCCAGGTCTTAGCAGTTAGGGATGTCTACTTCTTGGGTTTTGACCTTTCACAGAGAGGAAGGTGGAAAAGAGTCCGAGGGGGCCAAGATCGCTAAGCCTATTGGAGACTAGTTCTGCCTGTGGTTTTCATCTGCAGATGTGCTACA